ATAGGATGGGGGCAAGCGGACAGCCTTGCCTGACGCCAGCCGCTATAAGAACCCAGTACGAAAGGTAACCATTGACAATCGCCGCTGATTGCGTACTAGTATGCAGACGTCGAACCCAAGCAATAAAGCCCACACCTACACCCAATTCATCCAGACACGCGAACAGAAAGTCTCTATCTAGGGTATCGTAGGCTTTGTAGAAGTCAAGGAAAGCTGCCACACAAGTACGGCGCTCCATACGGAGAAGCGCGGGCAGCAGTTGTAAAAGGAGCACACTATCCGCGATTCGCCTGCCCGTGAGGAAGGCTGTCTGCTCCGTGTCTATGACGCGGTTAAACAGCGGCAATAGGCGTTGCTTGAGAACACGTGCGAGAGTGCGATAGTCTGTACCAAGCAGCGTAATGGGTCTATAATTTCCCGGCACCGTAGGGTCATCCGCTTTAAAAAAAGAGGAAATAATGCCGTCCAGAAAGCCAGTCGGGACCCTATCTAGTTCCCCCATAGCTGTAAAAACGGCAGCCAGTAAAGGTGCACAGTTTGTACGCTGGTATAATTCCACCGGTATTCCGTCGGGACCCGGAGCACGGCCCGGGGCTGCCGCCTGGAGGGCGGCTTGCACTTCCTCTACTGTAACAACCTGCGCTCCCGCCCTAGCCGCTTCTTCTGGTGAGCACGTCCTACCCCTCGCACGGAGCGCTTGGAGGACACGTGACCGCGCAACTGGGTCAGTATGGGGCTGTGCACCTATTTGTTGCCAATAATCCGCCATGATATTAGGAAGCTGTTGTAAATTGCTACACAGAGTACCATTAGGCCTTCGTAGGGCAGTGATTCTGCTTACAGCCTCGCTGGTGGACAGCGACTTGGGACTCCGAATCAAACGCGGGTACGAGGGTGCCCACACTGTCAGCATAAGCAAAGCATCAAATGCAAAGCCGGGCAGCCCCTTCCCATTCCAACGGAGGTGTGGGAAAGTGTAGCAATGGATTTGGTTACGCAGCTACTGACAACCCGCAATGGCATGATGCGATTGTTGTGTCCTTGGACCGGCTGAGCAAAATGGCGCACTTTGCTCCCACGCACACAATCGCAACAGCTGAAGATATAGCCCGCCTACTTGTGGCTACCGTCTTCAGGCAGCACGGCCTTCCAAAGAACATTATCCCAGACCGGGACTCTCGGTTCACAGCAATTTCTGGAATGAAACGTTTCGCCTTTTGGGCAGCCACCTCTACATGAGCACAGCCGGACGGGCAAACGGAACGCATCAATCGCGTTCTAGAAGAGACACTCAAGCACCACATTTCGCCCACTCAAGATGAATGATATATACACGTAGTTCTAGTCTACGTCAGGGGGTTCCCAGTCTAATGGACAATAAACATCGCACAGGCCTCCTCTTTCTTACGCTGTGTACATTTAGTACTAAAACTGCGATTACTTCCACAAAAGTAATAATTTTAGGTTGTATTGTTTAGCGTAATTGCAAAACAGTTTGCCACTGATTGAGTTTGCCATTAATAACTCAAAACAGCGAGCAACGGAGGCAACCTTCAGAGGGATGCAAAGATTAGGGATTGGGTTCGGGTACCGGTCAGGCAGGAATTAGGATTCGGAAAGAGGGGCAGGATTAGGATACAAAGTTGAGGGCAGGTTTAGGATGAGGACCCGAGTGTAGGATTAGGATTGGGACCCGGCCCCAGGATTAGGATTGCGACCCGGCCCCAGGATTAGGATTGGGACCCGGCCCCAGGATTAGGATAAATACCTATATCCAGGATTACGATTAGTACACTGGTATTGGATTAAGATTAGGGCACCGCAATGATTGGCAATTAGGATACTGCTATGTAGGAGGACTATCAAATCCAGCTACCGTTCAGACTGGGTTAGAAAGTTGCTATGCCATGTCATACTAAGTGATGTCGCGTGTGATGTGTGCGCTCGTGCTCCTGATCACG